TGGCCAAGGGGGACAAAAAGGTGGTGGAGGCGGCCAAGGCGGCAGAGGCGGTGGAGGAGGTCAAGGCGGACAAAAGGGCGGTGGAGGAGGCCAAGGCGGACAAAAGGGCGGTGGAGGTGGCCAAGGAGGTAAAGGTGGGGGTGGTGGTCAAGGCGGACAAAAGGGCGGTGGAGGTGGCCAAGGAGGTAAAGGTGGGGGTGGTGGTCAAGGCGGACAAAAGGGCGGTGGAGGTGGCCAAGGAGGACACAAAGGCGGTGGAGGTGGCCAAGGAGGTAAAGGTGGAGGTGGCCAAGGAGGCAAAGGAGGTAAAGGTGGTGGTGGCGGTCAAGGAGGACACAAAGGCAGTGGAGGCGGCCATGGAGGTAGTGGAGGCAGAGGTGGTGGTGGCGGTCAAGGAGGAGGAAAAGGTGGTGGTGGTGGCCAAGGAGGTAGTGGAGGCAAAGGTGGTGGAGGCGGCCAAGGAGGTAGAGGCGGAGGCGGTTATGGTGGAGGAGGTGGAGGCGGGCGAGGAGGAGGTGGAGGCGGGCGTGGGGGAGGTGGAGGCGGGCGTGGGGGAGGTGGAGGCGGAGATGGCGGAATCTAAGATATTTCAACCTAGAACTAGCACCTGCTTTTTGAAAAAAATTCCAAAAGTGTTTATGTATATCAATCTACAATAAAGTATATATAGACGTGTTGCACAAAACCATTTCGCTGATTGTCTAGAGGCTCCTGTATCATGGAACTTATGTTTTTCTCAACGTATAATCACAATAATTACTCGTTTCTAATCTGTTGCGGTCAATATGCTTTGACGAAGAAAGAAAATAAAGCAACCGAAGAAAAAAAAAATGCATAAACACTAACAAGGACTTCTAGTCAAACGAAATTATGTCATGCAAAATTAGAGGAGCACAAAAATCTTCAATAACCTTTTTTGGTACACATGTTAAAGAGACGACAAAACGGAAACAAAAAACAGTCGAATCGCTCAAACATTTGCGTTGTAGCCACGATTACTTGCGTTGTAGCCACATTACTTAAAACTCGTTGTGGCATTTGTTGCCACAGTTACTTAAAATTTGATAAAATTGAGTCTTCATCGTTGTTTTCACGAGCAACTTCCACATGTGGCAAGAGCAACTTCCACATGAGGCAAATATCTCAGAGGTGAGAACAAAAATATAAACACAACTATTCCAACAGACCATTCCACAACCGTGTGAGATGGGAACCTTTTGGGCAGTCACAGAACCGCCTCCGACCGCTATTTCCGAACTTATGGGAATCATCTCCCACGGAAGTGTAATAGTCATGGAGACAGATCCGCCGTTTTTATTCGACATTGAATCACCACTAAAGCTTAAAACATAGCCTTCCCCGACCAAAACTTTGAACAATGCCAGAAAAGAAAACACACATCAATTCGAAACAGATGAGCCACACTGAAGATAACGTAAAGAGAAAACTAAGCAAACACCTCGCAGTAGAAGCGTTGAACTATACGACGCGGAGAGCCTCACCACCCACTGCCATGGAGAGGGCTCACGTCAAAACTCTTCACCCAGACAGCCCACCACCTAAAATACCGTCGTTGATGGAAGCAACTGAAAAGCCAAATCAGAGAAGCGCCACTTCTCCAAGCCAGCGCAACAAAGTAAGAACAACAAATCTCCAATCGGACCACCGCCCATAACCACCGCAAAAATAAACTGTAGCCATGTTTGGATCTTCAACCAGAGACTTAACTGAAGGATTATGCCAAAGCAAAACCTCCTCGGAAATGAGTCTCACAACACGGACGCTAGAAAATCACCTCCGGATAAGCACACGAATACTCCTAACGAACCAGATTCCGAGAGACAGATGTAAAATCAGGAGATTGCTAACAAGAGTAGATTGAGGCACGCTACAACGGGAAGATAAGCCAAGGAATAGAAGATGAGAAGCAGCAATGTCGAATACCTGGACAACCGTTCTCAAACTGAGCTGATCCAGAAGCAAGACCATGAGCTGATCCAGAGGCAAGACCATCAACTTTCACAGAACCAAGGACTCGCGATCCGAGCAAGAACTAACTAGGAAGCTGGCGACGAAACTAGTGAACCGACGAAAAAAACCACCTATACTTGACGAAACCTCCTAACCAAACCCAATGAGAGACACCATCCTCTAGCAATAGACGAAGTCTTTGGTGAGAGAGGCAGCGACGAACCCAAACGAGTTACAATTCCGACGAATTCTAACCATAAAAGGCTCGGGCAATATTATCCATGACAAGAGAATCGGACCAAATCTACATCAGACGCCTAAATATCTTGATGACCTAGTGCTCGAGATGAAACAAATAGACAAAGGGGTTCCCTCTCACGGTGGCGGTGAGAAAAACCGGCCACCATATAAGGAGATCAGAACATAACCGTGTTGAATGATGTATCTTCTAGTGTATTGGTTCTGTGATTTTAAAATCCATATTCAAATTCTGTTATAAATCATAGTGGATTGTCATAACCAGTTCTGGTCCAGTATAGTCCGGTCCGGCCCATCTATACTTAGTCATAGGGTAATTTCCTTTTTTCTTTAGGAAAAGGAAAGTAATTTCCTTTTCTCTTAGGGAAAGGAAACTTCCTTTTATCACATGTATTGATCCTTATATAAAGGATACTTGATTAATGAAAGAAGATACGAATTTTCCCATTCTCTTTCTCTCTATTTCACA